TTGAATGGGAGAGTACTAGAAGATGCAGTACTGTGATTTTCTTCTGCAGCATGGGGCGGTGGCCTGGGGGTCTCAGGGGCTTGGTAGACAACCCATTTATCAGTTCTCTGGGGAGTTCCGAGGCCTGCTATGCTTTTCTGATGTTTCGGAGGCATGTCTTGGTAGTTAATATGCTGTCATTGCCAACTATTCTATAGTACATACTTCCTCGTATTTGCGTTATCGATCCACTCATCTTACTTACTATGACACATCCATGCTTACAACCGTGACTATGACAAATCCTCATCAATGAGTGGCACAACCGGCAGGCGGCATCTCTGCGGCATGCCTGTGTTTCTCTCTATATTTTCTCGGAAATCACCGAGTTGGACCCTCCCGCAACGACAACCAACTTCGGAGCAGACCTTACACAGAGAACGACTATCTTCTCTGTGATGGTCAGTGGAGGAGACTATCTTACACAGAGAACGACTATCTTCTCTGTGATGGTCAGTGGAGGAGACTAATCAAAGCGTGCGTTGACGCGCCATCAATGCGCCATCGTGCCTCGTGACCACTACATGTTCTCGTTCTCGTATCAGAATGAAGCGCATTTAATGCCCTCTACATATTGCAAAGGCTCAAAACTCGGTATACAGCTCCGCACTGGTAATGTGAATCGTTCTCACTCATTTCTATTTCCATTCTAACTGCAGGGAAGAGAGTTGACATGTCTTTCTCAGTAATCTCGAGACCCGCGCCCTAGATCATGTGAGCTGCGCTGCTGACGCGCCGAGGCTTCTATGCCGCGTCTCCACCGCGTTGATAGCACCTTTTACGCGCAATCAACGCGTATTTGTTGTCATGTGATTCGCGTCTCTTACGCGTAAACGCTCCTGCGACGCTTCTGTGCCGCATCTACTGACGCGTCTCCACCGCGTCCCTGTGCGACCAACGCGTCCTCGACGCGGATCTTCTTTCACATGATCCGCGTCCTCAACGCGTCGACGCTGCACCTCTTGCGCGTCGAACCAATACGGCGCTTAGGGTGCGTTTTCAGATTTCCGACTCTCGAGACTGAATCTGCGTTATTGAATGCAATGTGACTGTGATCCTTTGTGTGAGGTTAGGGACTCTTGTATATTCCCATGTAAACTCGTTTATTGTCATCCAACATTCGATACCATGACACTGAAGGGACTGATTGTGCGATGTGTTGAATACATTCAAAATGTATCTAATTTGACACAGTGCAACTAATGGTGCATTTTTCATTACTGTCGACTTGAAGCTTAAGCTTGAAGGCCTGAGAAACCTTGCATGAACTTTAGGACTTTTGCGCCATGGACCAAAGCTTATCCCCTGCTCGGCAGAAGCTTCGCTCAAGCAAGCACT